TGATTTTTTTTTTTTTTTTTTTTTTGTACAGTAAGTATTTTTAATAGTCTTTACTAAAAATAATAATGTACAAATAAAACATACATGCATTATTTATTTATTTGCAGAAGTCTAAGGAAACTGTCTCCGACAGCAATGTAAGTGCAAAGACTATTATGTCAACAAATCTAATGAGAAAATATTTAAATATATTTCTGTTAAGAAAATAGGCTCACTTCACTTTCTCTGTTTTCTTGACAGAGCTCAGAATCAACTGAATCAGACTCTAATGAACCGGTATAACTAATAATTTTCACATCTTTTCACAAATTTAGAAAATCACTGAACAGATCAATATGACTGCAAATGTCTTACTTAATGTTTGTTTGTATTTTTTTTTTTTTTTTTTTTTTTTTTTCAAGATCTCTAGTGAAAGCCATTCTGTGGAAAGTCTGGTAAGTTACTTTGCCTTAATACAACCTAAAACTCATGCTCTAAAGCATATTGATTGCTGAGAAATTGATAACCTGTTTATACTCTCCCACGTTCTGTCATCGGTGCTTATCTAGATTGGAAAAAGTGAGACTGCACTGACATCAGATAACACTCAAAGCAGTAAAGAGAACGTTCGTAGGGTAAGGAACGTCCAATTTCATGCATCATACAACAAACACGTGTGGTTACACAGGAATAATGACCATCATAATGCATTCATACAGGGCTGGATTTACACCCTCAAATGGGTCCATAAGAACAACAATGCCATTGTGCAAGCGACCAGCCAGCCAGAAGAGAATGACATCAAATCCACTAGTGACGAATCAAAAAAAAGTGAAAGCAGTGAATCAAGTGAAAGCCAGGAAATGGTTGTTCTAAGCACAAAGGAAGAGGATAAGAGTGTGGACACAAGTGAAAGCACTGAAAACAGTTATATTGTTGACGGTACTGAGTACAGTACTAGCAATAGCAGCAGCAGCAGCAGTAGCAGTGAAAGCACCGAGTCCAAAGACAGCGCAGTGGACAGTGAAAGTCGCTCAATTGAGTGCCAGCCAGGGGCTGACAGCCAGGAATGTGACAGCGAGGAAGACTTTCCTCAGGATATCGGTGATGATGGTGCAACCGACCCTTTCAATGGCATCCTAATGCCTGATGTCACTGAGCCCTAGCAGCAGCTTAAGACATCATTTTATGACTCAATGCGCTGATATCTGCAAGTGGAAATATTAAAATGGGAATTTTCTATTAAGGAAAATATTTAAAGTAGGGTATATAAGGAAATGTATATAATATTAATATAAACCATTAAATAAATGTTAATAATACTGTTTTTTAAGGTACCTCAGTCTGTTTTTAATTTAAAATTACACGTATTGTAGGCATAGTTTGATCTTTTTATTTTACACTTTCTTTTTGTAATATTTGCTTTTTATCATTGGCTATCTCTGGAGCTGAAGTTGTGTGCAGTATTTTTTATATAGATTTTGTAGTCATTTATTTATACTGTTGGTATTAAGCATTTTCAAATAAATAAAGTAAAGAAAGAGTCAAGCATTGCATGAGTCCTGTATTTCTCAGGAAAGTTGCATATGCAAGAACCATACATTCCTAAAATGAAAGGGTTCCCCTAATGCAATCCAAGAGTAATTACCAACTTCATTGCCTATAATTTTACAGATTTAGTTCATACCTTTGCACAAGCATGCCTAAACAATAAAAATGTGTTTAGAGCTGAAATGGCTGTTGTGTAACATCAAGCTATGAAAGAGCACTTTCAGCAGTAAGCAATATTGCAACTATTATGTGTGTGTGTGTGTGTGTGTGTGTGTGTGTTTGACTTATTCACAAGTAATATATCATGTCTGTCAAACGCATGTCATTGCTGTTTTGATACCACAAGATGGTGGCAAACTTTAAAGAACAGTGGTGGGGTTTCCCTAGGCAGAACATCATGAACTCACACAAACATTACATGCTGAGCGGGACTTTCTGCCGTTTCATGTGTGCTGCTTTTGGCAGCGGGATAAAGATTCCTTACGCTAAGAATGGGGGTTTAGACATTGTAAGTTTGTTAATTACTGTATAATTAAAATTACTGTTTTATGGTTCAGTCTTCAGATAACAGACTAAGCACCATTGGCTTTCATTGTCTAGACAATTGACACAGTGTGATCCAAGATAATGGCAGGCATTATCCATTATGACAAGAAGGGGAGAAAAACTTTAAATAATGGGTTTTTTAGAGACTGCAATATATTGTGTGTTAGAATTTGCCAGATTGCCCAGTTTAAAAAGACAACATAAAATTGTCAGATGCTATTTTCCTCAGAGTTTACAGTTATCCGTTCAGGTGTCACTATATTATATGGTAGGCTACCATCAAATTAAACAATACTCATTTTGCATGTTCTCAATATGAATGCAGCACTCATTTCGCACCACATCAACGTCAAATTGTTTTGGGGTAAGAAAGCAACATTTAGGCTAAAATCTGCAGTATAATCTGTGTGTGTGTGTGTGTGTGTGTGTTTATGTTCGTAAATTGTAGGCTAATTAAAAGGATCGTCAACACAAAAACGAAGATTCATCATTTACACCCATTCCAAACTTGTTGGAATATTGGAACATGACGATATTCTGAAGAATGTTGGTAAGCTGTTTCAGTTCCATTTACTTTCACTGTAGGACAAAAAATACAATGGAAGTCAAAGGGAACTGAAACTGTTTGGTAACCAACACATTCTTCCAAATATCTTCTTTTGTGTTCTGCAGAAGGAAGAAGGGCAAAGTTTGGAAAGACATGAGGGTGAAAAAATATTCTTCATATTTTGGTAGACTATCCCTTTAAAAAATGTGGAAAAAATGTTTTACTTTCTCCTACTTTCATCTGATTCATGCCTTAGCTTCTTAACTTCATAAAAAGTCTGTCTTTCTGAAAGCCACCTGTCCCAGTGAGCCAAGTTCAACGCGCTCTACATAAGGGACTTTATGTGTTAAAGTCCCATTACACTGCGTTTTTACTCTGTCCGTGAGCAACGCGATAAACTAGAACGTCCCTAGGCTATATTATAATGAAGGAAACAGTCTACTAGTTCACCGCGTCGCGTCGGCTGCGAAGTACAGGTTCATGCACACGCACCAGGCGGCGTGAAGCTGAACGGTGATCTTCCTAAATCTGATATCACACGAGGAGAGCGGCAACTGTCTCTAAAACGTGTAAAATCTCAATTAAACCACACACGACTCGACCATTATCTCTTTTGATGCCAAAAGAGGGGATGTTAACGAACAATTCTTTGACGTTAAATGTGAAGTACGAGAAAAAATATACCCAATTTGAGATGGGAAAGTCCCCGCAAGGAAATCCCCTCTTCATAAGATCAGTTCGAAATTGAGTGAGGCTCTCACAGGCTGAAGCTTTCTGCCTTTGGTCTACAGCAGACGCATGTAACGTTAGTAAGCCTAGAACACTCAAACCTGTGCAATCTATGGGAAAATCGAACTTTACGTGTTGGTTTTAACGCGCGAGCGGATTGTTCAGAATGGATGAGATAAAGAGGGAGAACGACGCGCTGAGGGCGAAGTTGCGCAGCTGCTCTACACTCAACTCATATTGCCACGAAACGCAACAAGAAATTGCTCGTTTAAATCAATTGGTCACCTCCAAAGACGGAATTATTGCCGATTTGAAGGCAAGACTGGGGAAGTATGAGAAAACAGTGGTCATAGAGGGAGAGGAGCCCTATATTGTAGGGCCGTCGAAATCTCTCATCGAGAGTTTGTGTAAGGAAATTTGCAAATTAAAGCAAAAACTCAAGGAGTCAGAGGCGGACGCCGCCCAGAGATTGGAACCCAGTAAAACAGTAAGTTAAAACACATTTTTAATTCGTCTTCCTGCTTCTCCTATGCAATCATCTACAAGATGTCAAGTTGATTGTTTTGCCCTGAACATCTTTCCAGCTAAAGCACTGTAAAGTAAACCTTCTTTGTAAAATACTAGAATTCCTTAATCAAGAAAACACGATAAGATAATAATAATAATAATAATAATAATAAAAGAGCTTTATCCAGCCTACAATGATTTGGTGGTCCTAACTGATGGTCTACCAGTCTCACCATTTGAAAAGTGCCCAAAACCCTTCTAAAACAGACCAGCCTGATTAATTAAGAAGAGCAAACTAATTTACAGTGGCAATTTTCAGCTTATGAGTATACATTTGTTCAGTAACACATGAATACTTGAATACACATGAATACAGTCTATGCATTAGATGTGGTGAGACAAGTGCATTTCTTGTTCACGTTCACCTGTCAGGAAATGGGCATGAACAAGTCTTCTGATTGTTTGCATGTTCCAGGAGATCCAGAGGTTGCAAGAACAGTTGAAGGAGAAGGATCAAGAGCTGGAGACCATGAGGGAAAGGCCTGACCAGGAGAAAGAAAAGGAGATCCAGCGACTGCGCTCCACCTTGGCTGAAAGCGATCGGACACAGGCCACCAGGGCCGTCCTTTGCAACTCTCTCGCTGAAGAAGCCGAGCAGTTGAGGGCACAGCTGGGGGCCACCGTGCAGGTGTGCCAGGAGCTTTTGGGACGGATGGAGAAAGAGAAAAGCAAGACATCCATGACGGATCAGAGAACTCAAGCAAATGAGGTGTGTTTGGGGAAACTATCAGCATTCTACAACATCTGGACCACCTTTAAAACACTTTATTTTAAACAACTATATTTGACCTTGCTTTTTGTATCTTCATCAGACAAAAGATTCCCCTGAAGTTCCCAATCTAAATGTCATCATCAGCAAGTTAGAAGATGAGAACGACCAGCTTAAAAAGAGAGTTGCATATGTAAGGCTCACATGATGGAACCGCTATTTGATCATCACCCACTGACATTTGTTTTACCAGTTTCATTTGCAGAAAATGTCACTCAGTACCTTTTATGGAAAGACAACAATGCAAAATATTCTTGGAAAATGTCATGTCATTTTTGTCTGTTCACATCATAAATACATGCCTTTGTTCCATCTCAGGTGGAAAGTTTAAACTCAAAGTGGCAGAAGTACGACTCCAGTAGAGAGGAGTACGTGAGGGGTTTGTGTCTGAAGTTGAAAGAGTCAAACGGTCTGGCATGCGCAGGTCCGACCCTGACCCAAACTCCGGCTGCGGGCAATGTGGCTTTGTTCCAGCAGGAGATCGCCCGGCTCAACGGCCTCCTGCAGGACAAGATGATGGAGTGCGAGAGACTCAGCAGAGAGAGGGATGACAGTAAAAGGATAGACCAGGAGCGCATTCAGATGCTTGAGCAGCAGGTCTTTATCATTATTTTGAATTCCTCTTAAACAGGAAGTCATTGTATTTTTGTCACAACAAAGGTGAGAAGTAGTTTTGTTTGGTGTGCTGCCCAAAAACCAAAAGCCTTCCTTGTTCTCCTGTAGGTTTTGGCCTATATTGAGGACTTCAAATCAGAGAGGGCAGACCGAGAAAGGGCTCAGGGTAAAATCTTGGACCTTCAAGATGAAGTTGGGCGACTTCAACTGCAAATACGCACACAGGCAAGCCTCGTTAAAAAAAAGCCTTATTTAAAGAATGAAATTATTGAAAAGATAATTTGCCCTTTTTTTATGGCAAGGCAAGGTTAGTTTAGGTTGTAAAATACCATGTGGTGCAACTCCCCCAAAAACCTAATGATATTTACAAATTCAAGATACTTGGAAAAAAAAGTTCTATATTATATAATTTTTTTTTAATAATTAAAAAAATATTTTTTTTGTTGTAATGTTATTTACTACAAAATACCCTGACCAGCATTATTTATGAAAAAAGTATCTCAAAAAATATATTATTAGTATTAAATAATATTAAATAGTTATATATTATATATATATATATATATATATAATTATTTTTAAATTATTATGGATTATTTTAAGTCACGATGAAACTGAAGTAGCAACAGATCTTTTCTTCAGTTTCTTGATGTACATCTGAGAGCAGTGGATTAACAAAAAAACAAGAAAATATATAGGGTGGGTTATTAGATTTTGAGATGTGGGCGTTGCATTGAAAAATGAATTTGAGCGTGCAGTCGAACATGGATGGGCGGGGTTTAAGTGGACTAAATTATTCGAGAAGTCTGGAAAATATCACCAAAGAGAAGTCTGCCATGACAACATTTTGATTACAACATAATGGGGTCAAAAATAAAATAAAGAAAAATACATGGATGATTTGTGACACAATAACATACTTACAAAATAGATTTTCATTAAATGCTGGAATTTTGTTTCCCTTTCTCTCACACTGGAAGAAGTGACAATCCACATTTCTACATGATTTAACCCATAAAAAGTAGTCTTGGTGGTATAATTTAATGTATTTAGGCAGATTCAGCTATATCAAATTAGATTTTTGACTTAAAACCAGTGCATTTACGATTTTTAGGTCACCACTTGTTTTCAGTGCAACCCGACCAGCATGAGACTTTAAAATCCAATTCACTTTAAATAACACGCATTGTTTCTTCATCACTCAGAGCGTCCAAGAGGCCTCATCCTCACGGCGACTTCACATGGGCCTAAAAAAAGTTCCCCACCGACAGACGGACACTGCCGAACCACGAAGAAACAGTCCCCCAGAAACAAGCTCAAAAAGGACTATCAGTAACACGGCACCGCAGGGAGCCGCTGAACTGCAGTGCCCTCGCTGTCTCACCACGTACGACGACGAGCACGCGACCGAATACCTAAACCACTGGGACGAGTGTGCCAAGCTGTGAGTCTCTCACCTCACTGACTTTTCACAGGGCACAGAAAGCACTGAGGACAGAATCACTACAAGCTTGCAGACTATGGGATGTGTGACAGGGTGTTGATGAAGGCAGGGGCATGTTTAAACAGGATGGAGTCGAAGGAAGGCTTTTTTTTTAGGGTTGGCTTTTCGATTGTGGTCTTGGTTGATGTTTAGAAGGTCGCTTGTGGCATAGGACTCAAGATATGACTTTGGGTTGGTCATTCCCAGTTCAAAGGCTTACTCACATGGCTGTCATTGAACGCAGATGGTTTGGTTATGAAAAGTTATTCAATCTCAAGCACTTGTGGTTTATAAGTCACTGGGTTTTGTCACTTGTTTGGTATTATGGTTTTCAGCATAGTACATTTTGTCTAAGAGTTTCAATCAAATTTTGCTTAATACTGTATTGCAGATCTGTGTATAATTCAGATGGATCGTAAAATTGGTATCATATACCTCACCAATATATATTCTCTTTATCAGCTGTTTGCACTTTTTGCTATTTTAATTATTGCCAAATACAGATGATAAAAGTACATAACCTTTTATATTTAATACATAAGCTTCTTTATTATTAGACTGTTGAATATCATTCATACTTTTTTTGTGATGGTGCTATTTGTAAAGATTAATGTTATATTTTTATATTTCATTTTTTTGTCTATTTGTAAGTGTATTGCTATTATTTGCCTTGGGCTTACATTTTAAATCAGAAATGTTAATTTGTACCAGAATATACAGAGCAGCACAGCGCAAAACTAAAGTTTTATATATATATATATATATACATATATATGTATATATATATATATCTCTCAAACTTTAGTTTCCGATTTTAAATGTTAAAAGGCTCTGTCATATAACATGTCATTACATTCTCAGAGTTTAAGGCACCTTTTGACTGTGAGGTACTTGCCATTCGATCCCCCTCTGCAGTTGAAAACATTCTAGTTTTAAGTAAGAGAGGAAGTTCCCTACATCCTGGTAAATTGAGACGTGAAATTTGCACGTCTCAGATGCTGTCTATGACAAAATGGCCTCCTATTGCTGCACATTTGAACACTTTAACGGGGTTTTAAGGCACTAAGAGCAAAAATATTGACAATAAGAAAATATCACAGAGATGCCAAACTAAGACAGAGAAACGTGATAACTATACGAGGATTTATTTTTATAATAAAATATTTGCTTAAGGACCCTTTTTGAAACTGTGTAATCTTGTTTGTCTGTGAGTGCTTGTACAGTCAAAGGTAATTTTTAGTAAGATATGGGAAACCAGACACAGAGAGTTGTGATAATGCTGGCAAGAGCATGAGGCATAGTGTGTCTTAAAGCATTAAACTCAAGTCCCACGGGATTTGGAAGTGTGTGTGTATGTGCACAAGTAGTGGAAAGCCCCTTCCCAAGCACAACTGAATGGACAGGCTATAACTGCAGCAAATGCTCAGCTGTCCCAAGGCCTGGAAGTGAATAGAAGAAGAGAAGCAGGCGACTGTCGGGTGGAGGGATATAGCGAGACTGGCTATTTAAAGGGGAGGAGGCTATGGGACCAAACAAGGCTAGTGTCTGTAACTGAAACTAGATGCATTGTGTTTCTGTGTTGTACAAACACTAATATCACAGAATCTAAATTCTTAATGTTAAACATTATATACACATTTTGTGTCAAGCTAAATTGCTGCTATAGTTTCTAGAGGCCAATAACATTATCCAAGCCATTATGAAAACGTGTGACAATAATTTAAATATAGTCACCATTGGTGACAGTCTGGAAAAACCTTGTGTGCATTCATATGTGGTTTTGTGAGATATCAGGTCATGAATTTAGTTCATTTCATGGAGGGCTGTAGGGTGGATGTATTTTTTTGTAGGCCAAAAGCTACAAATGAGTTAGCATTTTAGCACCTCTGGTTCTACCATTCTGAAGTCAATGAGTTTTACAGTAGATTAAATGCTTGAAATAAGGTCTGTCGTTAACGATTTATTTTTACCTCTCTTGAACAAGGTTGTTGCCAGCAAGTGTCTAAATGGGACTACAGAGGCTGTAGGGGACCCAAAGAGAAAGGAAAAATTGAAATCGCATCATATGACCCCCTTTAAGCGTCATGATAAACAGTTAAACTCACTATTTTTTGTTTATAATCACACTTATGAAAACTATTGTAACTCTTATAAAATTATGAATTGAAAGAGTAGGCACTTAGTAGTGTAGTTCTATTATAGCCTACATTTAGCCTTCAAAATACTTAAAAGTTGTGTTAATTTGTGAACGAAGAACAAAACATGTAAGAATCTTAGACGTTTGTCGGTCACAGAGCTTATTTTCCACAATAATCCAATGGAAAATCTATTGGGTTTTTGTTGAGCGAACCAGAGTGACTGTGAACTTTCAGGTTGGCCTACAAAAATAAGTCACCACTGCATGACTCTATTACATCTATATATGTGACCCTGGACAACAAAACCAGTCTTAAGTAGCAATAGCCAAAAATACTTTGAATGGGTCAAAATGATTGATATTTCTTTTATGCCAAAAATCATTAGGACATTTAAGTAAAGATCATGTTCCATGAAGATATTTTGTAAATGTCCTACTGTGAATATATCAAAACTTAATTTTCGATTAGTAATATGCATCGCTAAGAACTTAATTTGGACAACTTTAAAGGCAATTTTCTCAATATTTAGATTTTTTTGCACCCTCAGATTCCAGATTTTCAAATAGTTGTATCTCGGCCAAATATTGTCGTATCATAACAAACAAACAAAAATGTTTTTTAATCAACACCTTTGTGTTATATCTGGGAAACTGGTCATAAGTACAGGCCCATATTCAGATTATATACAAGATCACGTCAGACATGTAAAAGAGCATCACAGTCCCCTGAGTCAATAAACCCTTGATGAGCTCAGACGCACGACCCTATCTAGCTGCCACGGGGGTAGGAGGGAAAACTCCAACAGGAGTTTCATGCTCTCTACTTTAGTCAAGTCACCACTCTCGAAATGACATTGCTCAAGCACAAGCACACACTTTGGTAGATGCTCGTGGCCGTAGCGTGTCATTTTTCTACCTGCAGGAGTCATTTGTTGTGAAGTCAGAGAGAAGATCGTGTTGCTGTGAAGAACGTAACTGGAGATGCGAAAAGCTGAAGTGATGGATGTGTGGGCCCCGCTGTAGTTTTGTTCTTTTTTACGAAAGCCTTTCCTTGGAGAAGTGAAAGGTAGGGTGGAAGGGATTCCCCACATACACACTTCATACACACCTACAATAATGTGAGACCCACACATCTACTGCAGAAAAGCACACACACACACCACAATCCACCTTCAAAAAGTGGAAATAATTAGGTCACATGATCACATGACTTTTACAGTAAAACTATTCACAGAAAGACCAAATGTCACTTACACAATTAGCTCCAAAACTGATATTTAAAAATTAAGCACCAGCACAAGAAAAAAAATCCGAAGTAGCCTATCATGCACGGTGGAGCTTGTTTACCCATTATTATCCTTAACTTTACCCGCCGTGTTTTTCCGAGAGGAACGTCATGCCAAAACGGATAAATGTAGCCTTTAATCTTTTAAAGCAGGGAATTCCCGAGCATTGGCTAACTTCAACGCTTATTTGGAAGAGCAGCACCTTATTTAACAGGTTGTTGTTGTTACCGACTATGCTAGAGTTATCATGGCCTGTTGTGTTATTTTTTTGATAAGAGCGATCGGCGCTTAGACAGAACGCTATTGTCAGTTCCAGTATGTGGAACGATGGGGGTTTTCCCTCTTGAGCTGTCTGAGTTTCTCCCCAGCTCTGGGCCATCCTCAATGAAAAGATCTTCACCAGTGATTACAAACTACACTATCTCATCTCCGATCTTTGATTTCTCTCTAATAAGCCCAGCTCTTACTTTCGTTACGACCCTGTTATTGTCCAAGTTCTGCGTTGGAAGACTGACTGTAGACAACTAGGCTCCACACGTATTCCACAGTTGAAAATTTGGATGTGTATGCCAAGTCAATTTATCTTGCACTCTACTGATAATATCCAAATGTCATATGGAAGACAAATTTGTTGCTGATTTTTAGTATGGGAGACAAGATTCTTTCTTTATTTTGTTTAATTTTTACGTACTGAAATATCATCTTGTGTAGTTGCACCTTATTCAGTCAAAACAACTATTTTAAACTTCATGTTGAAAATACAAAGTGAATCTGGCCTTAACCAGAAATGGTAAAAAAATATTTTACATAAATGAGGTAACTCCAGCATTGCATCATGGGTGACTAAAACTGGGCAGACTTACACAAAAGCACTACCAGGAGATTCACAAAATCTCCCATTGTTCATTCTCCGATTTTCCAGGCAAACACGTGGTCAGTTTTCAATTATATAAATACATATATTTAATTAAGTGATTTATTTATTTATTATTTTAGTTTACTATAACATTTAAAATTACTGCACTAAAATATACATTTTTTCTTACACTACTGGTTTTAAAATGCTTTTGTTTTTAAAGAAAATTTCACATTTGATCAAAAGTACAATAAAAACAGCAATACTGTAAAATAACATTGCAGTTTAAAACAACTGTTTTCTAAATTTTAAAATGTAATTTATTTCTGTGATGGCAAAGCTAGATTTTCAGCATCATTAGTGTCACATGATGCTTCAGAAATCATTCTAATATGCTGATTTGCTGCTTAAGAAATATTTTTTATTATCACTGTTTAACATGGCTTAACACATGTAGCTTGATATTTTTCTGGAAACTGTGATACTTTATGCTTGCCATTTAGAATCACATGACAGTGTAAAAATATGCTTAAAAAATGTTCTATTATTGAAATTAGATCATCTCTTCCGGAACAAGACAAGCAACAGTTCATCTAACCTGTTATAGCTGTTTCTTTGTTACACGCTAAAAAGGAGGTAGGCGTTCCACCACAGCAAAGACGTTTTTTTTTTGGCAGGAAGTGAAGAAAAAAAAAAAGCCCTACATAAAACAAAGTCCGATGATGACGGATAGTGACAAAAGTTCCCTTTCTGTGGGAGTCATAAATTTAGAAATAGTCTGTCAAGTGGTTTCAAAGATTAAAAATATGCCCTCCCTCCTATTTTAAAACAGGATTCCAATACATTTTTTGAAGAATGAGGTAATCTCACTTTTTGTTGCAATTTGGAAGTGAAAAAGCCAAAATCATGTACATACCTCTAAATTATATCACCTTATACACAAAGACAAATCTAACTTCTGACCCATCTCTATAATGGCAAAAATAAAATTATTTTAAAAATGACTGATATTCAAATTTTTTAATTTCTCAAAAGGATTATTTCAGTCTTCTAAAAAAGTGGTCACCAAAATGCATCAGACAAAGTTTGGCTCAAATTAACCATATTGTGCCTAAATTCCCAAAATAAGATGAGGAGTCAGACAGGGCAAGCAGACCTTAAAATTATTGAGAGGAAGGCAAAGGAAAAAAAAAAAAACTCTGGAGGGCAGCCTTTCTGAAAAAAAATA